GTTATTTTTCTGCATGATCAATTTTTGATTTATCCTTGAATTATTAATTTTTTTAAAGGGAGGAGAGAAATTAGCATTGTGCCAATATTAAATTGTTTTGATGTAAATAAACAAAAGGACGATGGTTTACTCAAACACTTGCTTTTTCTGCACTTGTTTTGTTATGCCTAGCTTTTGTTTGTAATATATATATAAATTACATTTAGTAAAATTTAATTAGTTATTTGCTTATGCCATTTTGTTTGTTTAGATATCATGTTAAGAAATTATATAGATTTTTTTTGCAACTTTCCATATATTAGTTTGTTAGACTACTGAACAATCTTAGTTTATAACTGTAATTAATTATAAATTTATTATTCAGTTTAAAAAGAACTTAATGAGCTTATAAATGTTATTATATAACTAACATTTTTCTTTATTTACCCACATAATCTTTGCATGTATTTTTACTTGTATATATATATATATATATATATATATATATATATATATATATATATATTTTTTTTTTTTTTTTTTTTTTTTTTGGTTTGTTTGTAACAGGAATCATAAAAATGTTATTGAAATGGGGAGTGAGTATTATTAGTCGAAGAGTAAATATCCTTGATCAGTAACGGATAATATATATTAAATGGTACAATTTAACAGAATGAACTGAAGATACTTAAGTGTTACTAATAAAATGGGTATTTTAACTGATAGTTTTATTGTATGATACTGATATGGATATATAAGTAAACAAATGATTAACATTTTTTATTAAGTGAAAATGTTATGTTGCTTCATACTACATAAACATTAAATGATTATTTGTGCTGAAATATTGACTGAATGGCAACTCATTAATATAAACAGTATATATATGTATGCTTAAACATATTTTAATGGATTCATAAATTTTTATCTTAAAACAAGGTAATGATTACAAGATGGATGTTATCACATCTGATTAATCATTGTATTAAAGGGAAGGAGTATTAATTAGAAGTACATAGCCAATTAATTCAACTAAGATATATTATGTTAATTTTTAGTATATTTGCTGGAGGGAATGATTATTATGTAATGTTACTTTATATATATATATATATATATATATATATATATATATATATATATATATATATATATATATATATATATATATTTTTTTTTTTTTTTTTTTATTAAAAAAAAATTTGTGTGTGTGCATATAACAGAAATGAGAAGTTTCATATAAACTGAATATGATATGATTAAATGATGTTTGGGTATTTTTAATTAAGTATGATTTTAAATAAATGGTTTAACTGTTATGATATAGAATTTTATTGAAAATAGATTATTAAATTTTAATTATGAAAGTTTTGAGGTGCAAAACTTATTTGAGCAGGAGATTAATTATGATAAGGTTATTTAGGTGTAAAGCTGTGGGACTGTGGAAGTATTCTATTCACACATACTTGAATGAAGTCAAAAATTAAAGATGTGCTGGCATGCATTAGGTGTGTGTGAAAGTTATATTCCAGAGTTTCTCAGTGGAAAGTAAAAGAAATAAACATGAAACAATGTTATTTTGACTAGTAATCTGTAATAAAAATCTAAGTGAAATTCAATAAAGCAACTATTCTGATTTTGGAACTGGACGGTAATAAGGTCGCGCGACAAGGTTATTTTCAGTTGCACTCTGGATTACGCACGCTTGCTCCGCAAGGTGTCGCCTGTGGAGGGGGGGCAGCACAGCCCATGTGGTTACTGTGACGAAGGTGACAAGTACTTCCGAACATTTTTCATAACTGTCATTATTCCTCATTCTATTCACAAATTTGATATTTACGGCAATGGAAAATGTGGCACTGGCAAAAGTGGGTCTAGGTGCGTTGACGGGCTGCACAGGTGTCCCCAACATTAACCGCTGCCAGAGAATCCCGAAGCATTAAACTACACAACCTGTAGATATTGGAAATTTGGCCAAAGTTAAGCAAATGAGGCTTTATTAGATTTGGGTAGAAATAGAGAGGAATGTCCAGTAACATGCCAAACCCCTAAGTTTAAGTCTTGGCCTTTGACACCTGTAACGCACCCCTTAGTCAAGAATCTGAACAAATCAACGTTGGGCAGGTATGCTTTGTTTTCTACCGGCGTTTTTGTGATTTTATCAACTTGATTGTCCAGTGCCAGCTAGACCTTTTGTTCCCAGGAACTAGTAGCAAACTTTATCAGATAACAATCTGACACTAACCACGCTATACTAACAGCGCCGTAAACCCAGTTATCAATGCTGTCATCTTTACCTGTATCTCTACCGGTATTATACCAGTGGTACGTCCGATATATATCAGTAAGGAAACATGCTGTGATGCTTATATTTATTTGTAATACGTTAGCATCAACCTGTTCATAAAAACTTGGAACCTTTCAGTATTATTACACAATAACAGTATATTGACATCATGGGAGTTGTTATGATTAAATGCTTAGAAGAAATAATAAAAACAGATTACGTAAAATAAAAAAATGAATTAATTTTATTTGAGTTACTTTTTTTTCAAACCAATTAATTATCAAACATGAATATTATTTTCAGAAACAACATATATTACTGCATTATAAATCTGCTGCTACACAGATCTACAGTTCTAAAATGCAAATACCAAGTACCTTTCACACACAAATGATGAGATGTAAATAATCATATATATAAAGTAGTGAAAATTTCACAAAATGTGTGTAGGCAAGATATTTCTACAAGTAACCTCATTAATCAGTCAGGAAACTTCATAATGCCCTCAATNGCTGCATTATAAATCTGCTGGTACACAGATCTACAGTTCTAAAATGTAAATACCTAAGTACCTTTCACACACAAATGATGAGATGTAAATAATCATATGTATATAGTAGTAAAAATTTCACAAAATGTGTGTAGGCAAGATATTTCTACAAGTAACCTCATTAATCAGTCAGGAAACTTCATAATGCCCTCAATAAATGTAGAAATTTGAGCAAGAGAAATTCTACATACATGTGTACAGGCATGACAGATTTACCATATATTGCCACCAACCTTAAACTGAATGGGCATTTTAAAGAACAAAGTGAATAAGTAATAAAAAACAGATACTGTCATTCTTAATACTGAAAAACAATGGCACCTTGCAGCCTTCACTGCCTCACTATTTGCAAACAATGTTCTAGTCACTGTCACTGTGTACTTTTGATGAGGCATAGATGCAAGGATAACTCCCTTGAATTATATTGTGGAGGTCTTTTTTGTCATCAATCTGACACATATAACCTGAATGTACATATTGCAATTCACACTGCAGCTTGTCTTAGTAAGGACTCAACCAGTTGAAAACTTGTGGCACAGTTTCAGGGACAGGATCACACAAACTACCCTTGCAGTGATGATGGACCTACTAGTACATTATCTATGTCTTGTCCTCCTAGTTTCTCTAATACTATTTCCCCTGATCTATGCTCACATCAATCTCTACAGCTTTACCAACTTCTACGCAGTTTTTGCATCTGAAAGTATAAAGCAAAAATGTAATAAAGCACTATCAATTTACTTGTTATATATTTATATTTCAGGGCGAGAGAAAAAAGGCAGAAACCGCATATCATAATCAATATAATTGAAAATCAAATATGTATAATCAAATAGCTTTAATTGCATATACTAGTGATGATTTAATCTTTCAAAATTCAGCATGAATTTTGACTCTCTCTTGTTAAAGCATGGCCACTTTATCAAAATGTGCTTGATCAAATAATAATAATGATAATAATAATAACCTGCACACATGATGTAATGGTCAACTGCCACAAAAATGAGTTGATATGTACTTGGTAGCCTGAGAAATAATATCAGGTATTAATTTGAGCAGCAATAATAGCAATAATACCACATAGTTATCAACGACACAAGCATATGATATGGTGTTATATAACAAAATTTCATGCATAACTTGCTGTCGCCGTGTCCTCCTCAAACTATTGTGCACATCAGCTTTTGATTTTCAATGTCATCAAAATGTTACATTGTTGTTAGTAAGATCTATGTATCTGCTATTCAAATAATATTGTTTGGAAAATAACTAAAAAATTTAATTATGCTTTTGCAACACTAAATTATCATTAACTTTGCCAGTTCACGTGTACACAGTACCTTGCTACCAATGCTGCTCTTTTCTCCCCAATTCGCCACTGACAGGCTAACCACATCGTTCCAAAACAAAGTTGGCATGATTCTTTACTTTTGGTGTTGGCAGTTTCGCCCCGGGAACATCGTCTTCGGTTAAAAACAACGTATCGTATTCACCCATCTTTGCATTGCTTCTGTCCGCTTGCTGCCCCCCCAAGGGAAAAATCGTAGCATGTGGGTAGTAACGCAAGACCTGTGACATATAACGCGCAACCTTATTTCAGTCTAACACTAGACTGAACCAGTCTTAAAAATTAAGGAGGGACTCTTAATTTAGTCTTAAGACTAAAAACAAACTTAAACTGCAGTGAGTAAGACTATAATTGGTCTAAATTCAACTGAAGTGCCAAAGCAATTATCTCCATACACACATTCAGACCAGACTTGGACTTACTATCCAGCCAGACAGGTGAAGATAGCAATCAAGTAGAGGGCCATTGTGTGAGTAGCAAAGGGTGGTCTCTTGGCAAGTAAGTGCTAATTGCCTAATTGATAAGGGTGATTCAGATACTGTCTCAGATAATTTCTAAAGCAAGGAAAGATTTGGTTGTGGAAGTACTAGTGCAGCATACTTTTAATATTGTTTTGAAGGAAGTCTTCCTTATCGTGTTTACAAGGAAAGTGCACGGTGCTGGCTTCGTCATCGGCGACGACAGACGCAGGTGATAGCAATATGTACAGACACATCTGTCTCTGTACATAAAAACAGTATAACTTCTACAATAATGGCCCGATCATGCTGATTTTCGAACTTGACCTGCATTTTATGAATATACATCAGCTCTATAAATATAAAGANTTGCAATTCACACCGCAGCGGCTTGTCTTAGTAAGGACTCAACCAGTTGAAAACTTGTGGCACAGTTTCAGGGACAGGATCACACAAACTACCCTTGCAGTGATGATGGATCTACTAGTACATTATCTATGTCTTGTCCTCCTAATTTCTCTAATACTATTTCCCCTGATCTATGCTCACATCGATCTCTACAGCTTTACCAACTTCTACGCAGTTTTTGCATCTGAAAGTATAAAGCAAAAATGTAATAAAGCACTATCAATTTACTTGTTATATATTTATATTTCAGGGCGAGAGAAAAAAGGCAGAAACCACATATCATAATCAATATAATTGAAAATCAAATATGTATAATCAAATAGCTTTAATTGCACATACTAGTGATGATTTAATCTTTTAAAATTCAGCATGAATTTTGACTCTCTCTTGTTAAAGCATGGCCACTTTATCAAAATGTGCTTGATCAAATAATAATAATGATAATAATAATAACCTGCACACATGATGTAATGGTCAACTGCCACAAAAATGAGTTGATATGTACTTGGTAGCCTGAGAAATAATATCAGGTATTAATTTGAGCAGCAATAATACCACAGAGTTATCAACGACACAAGCATATGATATGGTGTTATATAGCAAAATTTCATGCATAACTTGCTGTCGCCGTGTCCTCCTCAAACTATCGTGCACATCAGCTTTTGATTTTCAATGTCATCAAAATGTTACATTGTTGTTAGTAAGATCTATGTATCTGCTATTCAAATAGTATCGTTTGGAAAATAACTAAAAAATTTAATTATGCTTTTGCAACACGAAATTATCATTAACTTTGCCGGTTCACGTGTACACATTACCTTGCTATCAATGCTGCTCTTTTCTCCCCAACTCGCCACTGACAGGCTAACCACATCGTTCCAAAACAAAGTTGGCATGATCCTTTACTTTTGGTGTTGGCAGTTTCGCCCCGGGAACATCGTCTTCGGTTAAAAACAACGTATCGTATTCACCCATCTTTGCATTGCTCCTGTACAAAATGTCCGCTTGCTGCCCCCCAAGGGAAAAATCGTAGCACGTGGGTAGTAACGCAAGACCTGTGACGTATAACGCGCGCGACCTTATTCTGTTGTTTCTGGCTCATCGACATTGCCCGCTGATATATGGTTGTGAGGATATAGCGTGCAACACATTTGATTGATAGGCAGTATGCCTTGACAACAAACTAGATACATCCAGTCCAATCTGGCTGTTGTACCCAGTACTTGTGTAGTTTCTATTTTAGGAATGGTGTTTGTTACTAGAGCACTTAAATTTTTAAGCAAATAAATATTCAGTATTCAGCCTGTTATGTGGATAAATTTTGTCTTGTGAAGTTCTGGAAGGTGTTTACTTTCATAATTTGGTGGTAAGTTTGCTTAGACTTTGTTTTGGGACCACATGTTTTGTACCAAATGTAGGCCACTCTTTTCAATGCAATCCAGGAAGAGACGAGAAGACGTTAGTATGCAACAAAAATGTCTTTTTCAAGATTTTTGTTCTTAAGTTCTAATAAAACATAACCTGTCCGTCGGACAGCCCATCCTGCAAATTCACTAGTCCGAACTGAATTTTTACTTGTGGAGCCCTGCTTTGGTGTCATAATATACTTTATTTGACTGTCTGATACCTTCCTGTGTTCTTTTCTTATGTGCTGTGGCATCACATACATTATTAGCACCAAAATACTTACAGAGGGTAGACTGCGACTTAGGCGCAATCTTGTACATGTATAATCCACGTGCAATCTTGTATAATCCAAATAGAATTTTATGTATAAATGCCAAAATAAGATGTTGTAATGATCTACATTCTGTATGTTCTTGCAGAGTTTTCGAGAATGGATGAAAGTGAACATGTTGGCTTTAAATGATAGTATGACTTAGTTGATATGGTTAACGTCAATGTTCAAGGCAAATAGGAAAAATGCAGCAAATGCCAACATTGCATAGGAGATGTCATTCAATTAATTTTTTTATGAGAAAGACATCGTACAATTATAATTACAGATTATAGAAGAAGCAAAACTTAAACTGTGTAATTAGACGAGATTGCGTGAATTTGAATGACCACACATCATTCGTGACTTGTCTCAGAAACAAGCATATAAATGCCGCGTTTGATACTTTGTATCAGACGTTTCATAACACGGTGAAGGGTCTTTGCGTTAGGCATGCAGGGAACACATTGAATAACCATGTACCTTCGGTTTTCGTTCATTTTTTGAGAGTGTCGATTTCTTGAAGGGCTAGCCTCATTGTTTTTCGTTTTATTTCAGCCAAATCTGCTTAATATGAACGTGCATATTGATATACAATTTTTTTTAGAGGCCAGACGGACTGGCAACTTTTGGAAAGAGACCGCCCGGGTGACAATTGAGCCATCCCGGGCTGCCGGTCCTTATTTCCTACCCTGCCTTAAGGTTGAAAAAAAAGTGTTGAACGCTATTGATATTTAGCAACGGTTGCCATGGAAATAATGGATGAATTAGAGAAAATTATATCTTGTCAGATTTTTCTTGGCATACTGTAACTTTCCAGAAAATTTCAAATGGATACTTTACTCCATTCAGAAGTTATGCCAATTTTGTTTTATATATTGGGCAATGAGGTGACACTTTTGGCTTCCACTGTTACATATATGCTTGGATACCAGACTTTTTAAAATTTTTGTGGGCGACTAGCATTCTTTTAAATTTAATAACTTTTGATTGGCTTGCTTGATTTCCAAAAAATAAAATGTTTTGGAAAGCTCATGAATTTTTCTATCACATAAGATCCTTTTGACTGATATTTATGTTACTATCAAAGTTGACCTGACCTCTCTAGTGGAATGAAACAAGGCAAGATCTAGATCATCAATATGCCCTACAAATAACTGTTAAAGGGATAACAACTGGTTGTTTTGGCAAAGTTACAATGCTTGCCAACAAACCAGGTAGCTGTTTATGCCTCCATAAGAATCACTTTACAGATTATTACCTGAAAAAAACTTTTTAGAAAAAAAAAACATGGACTAGCTTTGAATGTTGGAATGGATTAATTAAACATTTGTTAGTATGGGTATGGGAAAATCATTGTTTTCCCCAGGCATATATGCAACACTGTAAACTCAATATAAGAAAAACAGATAGGCCAATTGTCATTAAACTCACAGGAGTGGTCAATCCTTCTAAAACGCAGGTTGAGTTAAAAGAACAGCATAATCGGGCCATTATTTTAGAAGTTATGTTGTTTTTTCACATTTTCTCAGATTCAATTCTTAGGCATGTTAACAGTTTCATTAATAAATTAATAAGATATTAAAAGTCTTTGTTTGACATTTCCTGCATCTTTACAACATTGTTAGTTGATTTTGTAAAAAATGATGGTTAATTTGTTATCGTGTATTGTGTAATAAAGTTTCAAAAATGGAAATAAACTCATATCATTGCAGTTTGTCAGATTCAATCATTCACTATGTTCAGAATCTCAGAATGGAAGAAATTGGACATTTAACACTGCTCTATTGATATTTTTTCCATCTCATCAATTTTTTTAGTTGATCGTATAAAAATGGCAGTAAACTGTTAATTTTGTTTTATGTTAAAAAATGTTAAAAATGGAAAAAAAAAA